AAAGTAATAATAGAGTAAAATAAGAAATGCAATAATAATAATAACAGAGTAAAATAATACATGATTTTGACTTGAGCATAAGCCGAGGGAGTTTTTTCAACCTAAAAGAAGGGCTGAAAAACTAGGCTTATACTTGAGTATATAGGGTAAGTCTTATCTGGCTTTGTTGTTTGGCCAGAGTGATATGGCCAGGGCTAATCATATATATGTGTGTGTGTGTGTGTGTGTGTGTGCGCGCGCATGCATGCATACACACACACACACCTATCTCCTGTTTCCCCAAAAATAAGACATGCCCATAAAATAAGTCGTAGTAGGATTTCTAAGATATTTCACAATATAAGCCATACCATGAAAATAAGGCATAGTGCATGCTATGCAGTGTATATAGTGCATGGGTATGTAGTGTACAAGGTTAGTTTCCCCTCAGGTCCTGGTAATTCTGTGCCTGCTGCAAGCTGAGGTATAGAGGGAGACATAGAAAATGAAAGTAAAAGTCTTCTCAGTGAAGTGAGGAGGACGCCCTGCTTTAGGTATGGTGTGTCCTCAGGGGGGAGAAGTAAAGCTGTGGCTAGGGTTTTACTCAGCATGATGGGTCTCCCCCCCCCCCAAGCAAAAGTCTGTGGGTCTCTCCCACACCACACAAACATTAAGGAATAGGGAAAAGCTTCAGTCTGCTATTGAGCCGAGAGACCATCCCATAAATGCAAATCGTTGTATCATCTTCTATATAAATAAAAATGTAATGTTAATTTGTGAGATAAACATAACTCAAAAACCACTGGACGAATTCACACCAAATTTGACTTCCTCTCACATATTTATACATGGCCATCATGTCTCTCAGCCTTCGCTTCTTCAGGCTAAACATGCCCAGCTCCTTACGCCACTCCTCATAGGGCTTGTTCTCCAGACCCTAGATCATATTAGTCGCCCTGCTCTGGACACATTCCAGCTTGTCAGTATCTCTCTTCAACTGTGGTGCCCAGAATTGGACACAATATTCCAGCTGTGGTCTAACCAAGGCGGAATAGAGGGGTAGCATGACTTCCCTGGATCGATAATTATACAGATCTGGTGAGGACGAGGTCTGGTGGGGACAAGGGACAGGGCCTTTTCTGTGGTGGCCCCCCGACTTTGGAATACCCTCCCCAAAGACATCAGACAAGCCCCTACACTGGCAGTCTTTAGGAAGAGTTTGAAGACCTGGCTGTTCCGGTGTGCCTTTCCAGAATAGGAAACTCCAGCAATATGTCCCAGAAGCACTTTACCAGAGATTTAGGATTGTCTGCACGTTGCACTTACCCTAAAATCCTACATTGCACCTGTCATACTCAGCACTTTTTAATCTGTACCCATTACGTTTGGCCCGGCCCTAGTTTTATTGTGTTATGGTGTATTGTTTTTATTGTTTACTGTTATTGCTTAATATTTTGATTTGCTTTATAATGTTATGTGTATTGTTATGCTGTTGTTTTTATTGAAGCCTTGGCCTTTGTAAGCCGCATCGAGTCCTTCGGGAGATGTTAGCGGGGTACAAATAAAGTTAATAATAATAATAATAATAATAATAATAAATTACATGTAATATTACTAATAACATTACAACATAATGGTATAATACCATATAGTAATATATAATACTGATATTGTACTATGCTAATAATATATTGTATGTATATATATATATCTTGTAAACCGCTCTGAGCCCCCTTCGGGGTGAGAAGGGCAGCATATAAATGTTGTAAATAAATAAATTTAGCTGGTGTTACACTTTAAAACAGGCCTGGGCCGTTGTAGTCGCCGATGGCAACAAAAGCCTTGAACCTGGTTCGTTGACCGGCACGGGTCTGTTTCTGCACCGGCATGATCTTCAAAACCTCATCTTTCAGAGAGGAGCCCAGGAAAAAGTCAATGATTTCAGACTCCTTGATTGGAAGGGAAAAAAGGTAGATCTCTTCTAGGGACTTGATCTTCATGTCTTTGACCAAGCGACCAAGTTTGGTGACTGGAATCCATTCTTTGTCCTCTGCCTTGCCTCCGCGGGCCCCATGTCCTCTTCCCCGGCCCCTGCCCCGTCCGCGGCCCCGTCCTCGGCCTCCACTGCCAAAGCCACCCCGGAAGCCGCCTCGCTACGGTCACGTGGGCCTTGGTGTCAAATGCTCCAAAGAAGTGGCCACTGTCATCCGGGGGGCCATCATCTTGGCCAAGCTGTCTATTGTGCCAGTCAGGRGGGGCTACTGGGGCAACAACATRGGCAAACCCCACACCGTGCCTTGCAAGGTCACCGGTCGATGTGGCTCAGTTCTGGTGCGCCTCATCCCTGCACCACGTGGTACTGGGATCGTTTCTGCCCCAGTTCCCAAGAAGCTGCTGKTGATGGCTGGCATCGACGACTGCTACACCTCGGCCAGGGGCTGCACAGCTACATTGGGCAACTTTGCCAAGGCCACTTTTGACGCCATCTCCAAGACCTACAGCTATCTGACCCCCYACCTCTGGAAGGAGACAGTCTTCACCAAATCTCCATATCAGGAGTTTACCGACCACCTGGTGAAGACCCATGCCACTCGAGTCTCTGTGCAGAGAACCCAGGCAGCCGCTGTGGCCACTACTTAAGAGGAAKCGCMTTTAAGATGKAAATGTTCAATAAAATTTCAGAACTAAGCYATTTCAAAAAACAACAACAACAAACAGGCCTGGGCCAACTTGGGCCCTCCATGTGTTTTGGACTTCAACTCCCACAATTCCTGAAGGGGCCTGAGGCTGCTAGGAATTGTGGGAGTTGAAGTCCAAAACACATGGATGGGCGAAGTTTGCTCAGGTAGGTAGGCTTTCAAAAATGTTTGCCCCGACTTAAGAACGACTCCGATCTGCAGAGCAGGCGTTGTTCGTAACTCGGGGGCTGTTCGAAAGGAAAACATCCAACACCGAGGAAGGCCTTCCCTGTGAGAAGAGCGTCTTACCTCAAGGGGGAAATGATTGGCACGCAGAGGATCAACAAGATCACGATCTCGGCGTAGAGGAAGGCTGCCACGGCCGTCCACTGGAACGTCATCTTCTCTGTGCCGGAGCTGCGGGGGAGAAGCGAAGCCCCATTAGCTCCCCATGGTTTCCAAGCAGGACACGAGGGAGGGAGGCAGGCCGAGCGAAGGCGGAAGACGCTTCCCCAGACCCAGACACTCTTCCCCCTTGTTTTGGGGCCTCCTCTCCCCTGCTGTGAGGGGAGTAGAGCTGGTCACGAACAGGGCTCGCGGGGAGGCCCTTCCTCACAGCCCAGCCTGCTCTCCCCAAGACGCGGCTTCTCTGAGCGCCGTTTCCGTTGGGAAGGCGGCAACTGCGGCAACTTTTCAACGTCTTTTCTCCTGAAATGGCTCTGCGTGTGTGTCGGGGAAAGGGCCGCCTGCCTCCCCCGCTTCCCTCCCTCACTCACGGAGACAAGGCTCGCCTGGATGGCGGTGGATACTGCGGAAGGAGGGGAGCCGGGCCTTGCGAGGCGCTGAGAGGGAGGCAGGGAGGGGGGAGAGGGAGACGGAAGCGACAGCTGAGGGGAGAGCTTCTCCTTTCACCTTCGGCGGAGGCGCCACTCATTCCATGCTATTGACACACACGGCGTTCAGCAACACCCGCAGGACAAGCAAGGCAGTCCCCAAATTACGAACAGCTCCACATCTGTAGGTGGAGATGTACGTAACTTGGGACAGGGGTCCTCAAACTTTTTAAACAGTAAGGTAAAGGTTTCCCCTTCACATTAAGTCAGAAGAAGATCTACAAGCCACTCTAAACACCTTCGCAGAAGCATACACGAAGGTTCGCCTGTCACTGAACATCGACAAAACCAAAGTTATGGGTTGTTGTAGGTTTTCCCGGGCTCTATGGCCATGTTCTGCAGGCAATTTTTCTCCTGACGTTTCGCCTGCATCTATGGCAAGCATCCTCAGAGGTAGTGAGGTCTGTTGGAAGTAGGAAAAATGGGTTTATATATCTGTGGAATGACCAGGGTGAGACAAAGGGCTCTTGTCTGCTGGAGCTAGGTGTGAATGTTTCAGCTGATCACCTTGATTAGCATTCAATGGCTTGGAAGTGCTCGGGGGGAATCCTTTGTTGAGAGTGATTTTATGTGCCTGTTTGTTTCCCCTCTGTTGTTTTTCTGTTGTGATTTTTGAGTCCTTTAATACTGGTAACCAGATTTTCTTCATTTCCATGGTTTCTTCCTTTCTGTTGAAATTGTCCACATGCTTGTGGATTTCAATGGCTTCTCTGTGTAGTCAGACATGGTGGTTGTGAGAGTGGTCCAGCATTTCTGTGTTCTCAAATGAAATGCTGTGTCCAGGTTGGTTCATCAGGTCCTTTGCTATGGCTGATTTCTTTGGTTGGAGAAGTCTGCAGTGCCTTTCATGTTCCTTGATTTGTGTTTTGTGGTCCCTATGTAGACTTGTCCACAGCTGCATGGTACACGTTAGACTCCTGCAGAAGTGAGAGGATCCCTCTTGTCCTTTGCTGAACGTAGCATTTGTTGGATTTTCTTGGTGGGTCTGTAGATTGTTTGTATGTTGTGTTTCCTCATCAGTTTTCCTATCCGGTCAGTGGTTCCCTTGATGTATGGCAAGAACACTTTTCCTCTGGACAAGTCTACATAGGGACCACCAAACGCAGCGCCCAGACACGCATCAAGGAACATGAAAGGCACTGCAAACTACTCCAACCAGAGAAATCAGCCATAGCAGAGCACCTGATGAACCAACCTGGACACAGCATATTATTTGAGAACACAGAAGTGCTGGGCCACTCTCACAACCACCATGTCAGACTACACAGAGAAGCCATTGAAATCCACAAGCATGTGGACAATGTCAACAGAAAGGAAGAAACCATGAAAATGAACAAAATCTGGCTACCAGTATTAAAAAACTCAAAAATTACAACAGCAAAACAACAGAGAGGAAACAAACAGGCACATGAAATCACTCTCAACAAAAGATTCCCCCCAGGCACCTTCCAAGCCATTGAATGCTAATCAAGGTGATCAGCTGAAACATTCACAGCTAGCCCCAGCAGACAAGAGTCCTTTGTCCCACCCTGGTCATTCCACAGATATATAAACCCATTTTCCTACTTCCAACAGACCTCACTACCTCTGAGGTTGCTTGCCATAGATGCAGGCGAAACGTCAGGAGAAAAATTGCCTCCAGAACACGGCCATCGAGCCCGGAAAAACCTACAACAACCCAGTGATTCCGGCCATGAAAGCCTTTGACAATAAACCAAAGTTATGTTCCAGCAGTCACAGCCATCCCCTCCCCAATGCCAGAGATACAGCTTAATGGTGTTACATTAGAAAATGTTGATCATTTCTGCTACCTTGGCAGCCACCTCTCCACCAAAGTCAACATCGACACCGAAATACAACACCGCCTGATCTCTGCAAGCGCAGCATTTTTCCGAATGATGCAGAGAGTGTTTGAGGACCGGAACATCCATAGGGATACCAAGGTGCTTGTTTGTAAAGCTATTGTCCTCCCAACCCTGCTATATGCCGGTGAGACGTGGACTGTCTACAGATGTCACATGCAACTCCTGGAACGATTCCATCAGCGCTGCCTCCAGAAAATCCTGCAAATCTCTTGGGAAGACAGGTGGACAAGAAGCAAAGACCACCAGCATTGAAGTGATGGTCCTCCGCCATCAACTCCGCTGGACTGGCCACGTAGTCCTGATGCCCGACCACCGTCTCCCAAAGCAGTTGCTCTACTCTGAACTTAAGAACGGAAAACGGAACGTTGGTGGACAGGAAAAGAGATTTAAAGATGGCCTCAAAGCCAACCTTAAAAACTTAGGCATAGACACTGAGAACTGGGAAGCCCTGGCCCTTGACCGCTCCAGCTGGAGGTCAGCTGTGACCAGCAGTGCTGCAGAATTCGAGGAGGCACGAGTGGAGGGCAAAAGAGAGAAACGTGCCAGGAGGAAAGCGCATCAAGCCAACCCCGACCGAGACCGCCTTCCACCTGGAAACCAATGCCATCACTGCGGATGAAGATGCCAAGCAAGAATAGGGCTCCACAGCCACATACGGACCCACAAGGAAACCCATAATGGAAGACCATCATACTCATCCAACGAGGGATCGCCTAAGTAAGTAAGTACCTGGGTTGAATGAAAAGTAATGCCGCCACCTTCGTAACTCCTCAACACATGGCAGTTACTGGTATGCAGCAGGTACTGGCTTGTTCAGGAGACTCTCCTTTACAGTTCCATTTTGGCGGGAAGCCTTAGCATTGAATAGTTGTGTTTTTAAAGTGTGAAGTATGGAACTTTGCGCAGTTACGAACAAAGCCGGCGCTGTTGGAAAAGTTATACCTAAGTGGGACAGGTACGACTCCGGCCAAATATACCTGGGTTGAATGAAAAGTAATGCCTCCACCTTCATAACTCCTCAACAGATGGCAGTTACTGGTATGCGGCAGGTCCTGGCTTGTTCAGGAGACTCTCCTCTACAGTTCCATTTTGGCGGGAAGCCTTAGCATTGAATAGTTGTGTTTTTAAAGTGCGAAGTATGGAACTCTGCACAGTTATGAACAAGGCCGGCTCTGTTGGAAAAGTTATACCTAAGTGGGACAGGTACGACTCCGGCCAAATATACCTTCTAATATGATATATAAATACTGTTCCATTATTCTGTGATTCTATGATCCAAAAGGTGGCCTAGAGAGAGAAAGATAGTAATGGAATCATAGAATCCTGGAGTTTGTAGAGACCTCGTGGGCCATCCAGTCCAACCCTGTTCTACCAAGAAGCAGGAAAATCACATTCAAAGCACCCCTGACAGATGGCCATCCAGCCTGTTTAAAAGCCTCCACAGAAGGAGCCTCCATCAGATTCCATCCACACAGCCATATTACCCAGAATATCAAAGCAGATAATCCACAATATCTGCTTTGAACTGGTTATCTGAGTCCACACTGCCATATAATCTAGTTCCATGATGTGGATTTTATACAGCTGGGTGAAATGGACCTGGCAAACCAAAATAAGTCATTTATTTAGCACTCACTGGATTATTAAACCAATAAACCTTTAACCAACCCTTGTAAAGTAACTCCAGGTTTAATTCTTTAGCCATGTCTTAGCACAGCGAACAAAATAAAGAAGCAGTTGGTATGCTGTACCTATTAATTTATCAATTTAATGTATATTTCAGAATTTAAACTTGCCATTTTGGAGTAAACCTCCAGGGAATGGCTAGTGTAATTATGATTGAAACTATGTCTTTTGCATTATTAGTTTAATTTCAGATTTATCATATTTTTAATAAAAAGCCAATTGAACTCAGATTTGATTCTTGAAAATGTTACTAATACCAAATACAAAATTACATTATCCCACCTTTTCACTTTCTAGATAAGTCAATCCAATATATTTATCTCATCTTCCATTTTTGTCCCATTTTATAGACCGCCCCTTCTGCCTTGAACTACTTCCCAGAACAAACAAAACCAGTATCTTTTTAGATCTCTTACGTTATCATGACATGCAACTGGGCAAGGCTCTCCTCTTCCTACAACAGATCCCAAGACCTCTAACACTGGAGTTGTAGAACTGGCAGGGCTGAGGATGGATAGCTTAGAGTTAGCTTTTTAATTTGAATACAGCAACGCCTATGTTTAGACAAGTAGGACTGGATCCCTACAATTAAAATGCACGTCCTCCTACTTGTTTCAGGCCCAACCTTCTTGATTATCTCTTTAATGCACACGATTGATTTTTTAATGATTCTGAAGTTGCAAATGCACTGCTAGTTTTACTCAACATGATATTGTGCAATGAGTGATTTCCTTTTGATGGACTAAAGCTTATGCCAAAACAAAATCATGTTGGGTTTTTTTGCTTTCAAGTCATTTCTGACCCATAGTAACATTAATGTGACCCTATCACAGGTTTTTATGGCAAGTGTTTTTCAGAAGAGGTCTGCCTTTATTCCTTTCTTCCGCCATTACTGTTTTGGGACTGAGGAAGTATAGCAAACATTCAAACATATTTAAAACATTCAAGAGAAAAATATAAACCCTAAACAGTTCTGGCCCAGACTACCTGTCCAAACGTATCTCCTGGTACGAACCATCACGAAACTTAAGATAATCTGGGGAGGCCCTGCTCTCGATCCCACCGACATCGAGGGGACTGGTGGGGACGAGGGACAGGGCCTTCTCATCAGTGGCCCCCCACCTGTGGAACGCTCTCCCCAGAAACATCAGAGTGGCCACCTCCCTCCTGTCTTTTAGAAGGAAAAACAAGACCTGGCTATGGGACCAAGCGTTTGATCAGTGAGCAGCAAGTGAAAGAAGATTTTAACACTTATGGCAATGATTTAACCTGGACTGGATTTTGGGTTTTGATTTTTAATAGGCGTGTGTTAATTGTTTTAACTACGTTTAAAAATAATTTTTAAAGTATTTTTAATATACTATTGTTTTATGACGATGACACTGTATGGTTCTTTTGTGAGGCTGCCCTGAGTCCCCCCTCGAGGTTGAGAAGGGCAGGGTATAAATATAGGAAATAAATAAATGTAGCAAAGCATGCAAATCCTGTGCTTGTCTGTGAGCTGCCTCTTTCAACATTCCCTCCTCTTCCTGTGTTATCTCCCTTCTCATAAAAGTTCTTTTGAACTCTTACCTACTATTTTCTCAATTGCCTCTCTGAAACTCCTGCTGTGCTGTCAGGCTTTTGTTTTGCCTATCAAGAGGCTTGCAAAGAGAGACATACAGTATAAGAGAGCTAAAAAGCTTCATTTCCCCCTTCCCTTCTGTTCTCAATTCTGAAATGTAAGAATAACCCCTCTATATATTGTGAGTTTTTCAGGCTGTAAGTAGAACAAAGAGGGGAAGGACAGTGGGAGGAAACAATTCTTTATCGTGTGATGGCAAATCGAACAGATAAATCCCAAAGGAAGCAGAGAAACAGGGCATTGCGAATCTTAGGGGAAAAACAATCCCGAACACTTATCCCATGTGATGAAGTCCCCAGTTAATGAAATAGATGTGTTCCTGGGGGTAAGCAGAAAACTTGGTACCAGAAGTACATATAACATAGAATAATAAGCATAGATTTCTACACCACAAAAAGAACGGTTTGACAGCATTAATGGATTTTAGTATCCACAGGGAATCCTGGAACCAAACTTCAGCAGATACTGGGGTACACTATGAGTGTAGGATTGAGGCAGTTGGGAGAGCAGGGTGACACAAGCCTTTGCTGTATCTAGAAAATTCTTATATAAGTTTGTCCAGAGGTAAGCCCTGCAGTCAATAGCGAGGCTTACACTGTAGTACACCTGCATAGGATCAAACCGTTAGAATTTCCTCTTCCTTATCTGCATATATGAACATTTTCTGTTTCTAGTGCTGCCAGCTATGATTTTCTCAACAGCACAATTTCTTATGAATTGATTATAACAGTGTTGTCTCTATGATAACTAAACTGGGTGTGGAGTCTAGCAGGAAGATGTGCAAGCTTTGTTAATAGAGATATTCAAGAGGACTTGATGTAGTTTATCTTTTCCTTCATATACCTTAAATGCTTATGAAAATATACTTTGTTAGGGCGTAGGTGAATGGCACTGTACTCCACACCTACTGCACTACATAGCTCCACACCTTTTTATTTGTTGAATGAGTGCACTCATGTCACCATTAAATTTGCATGCCAGATATCTAATTTCAGTGTGAAGAATAGTCATCCCTAACAGCTTTAATTTTTTTACATTTTCCTTAGTAAACTGATTAAGCAAACATGGGAACATGAATTGTCAGAGGTAGGCATTGCTTTGGATTAGTCAATCTGGAATACAATTGTTATGTGCACTGTATTGTGTTCTTCCACAATCAGGAGATCCAGTGCAGGCAAAAGTCAAGAGCTTCCTCATTGGATCTCCTATGCACCGGGATTGTGGCGCAGCTGGCTGAGTGTCAGCTGCATTAAGATCACTCTGACCAAAGGGTCATGAGTTCGAAGCCAGCCCGGGTTGGAGTGGGTTTCCAACCAATTGTGTAGCCTGTTGTCGACCTTTGCAACCCGAAAGACAGTTGCATCTGTGAAGTAGGAAAATTAGGTACCACCTTAAAAAGTGTGGGGAGGCTAAATTAACTAATTTATGAGGCCATAAAGAAGACTCCAGCAGAGCATTCCAGCGGGGAAGCATGTGGGGAATGCGGAAGTACTTCATCAGCGTCGCAGATGAACGATGAAAGCGACAGCTCCCCGGGTGGCCAGAAAAAGTTAAATAGCTTCTGTGTATGTCTGTATATGTTTGTATGTCAAAAATTGGCATTGAATGTTTGCCATATATGTGTACACTCTAATTTGCCGTGAGTCCCCTGCAGGGTGAGAAGGGCAGGGTGAGTCCCCTGCAGGGTGAGAAGAGAATAATATTTTTATTATAAATAAATAAATAATAAAAAATGTTTTTGTAGTGTATTATTATTTAGGGGAATAGGGAAGAGAAAGAGTCTAATACAAGCAATCCCTGAGTTACAGATGACTTACAAATGACTTATAGTTAAGAACGAGGGTGAGACAACAGGAAGTGAGAGAAATCTACCCCTCGGAAAGGAAATCCACTGCTGAAAGAGTTATTATCATGGGGAAAAGATGTCTCTACTGAAGCTTTTTCACCAAATCTTGTTTCCACAACAAGTCAAATTTTTCAAAATCCAATCATCACAGGGACAGAAAGTGAGGTGAAATCTTCTGAACAGGGGCACAGATAGCAAAACAAACTCTATAGGGGTGTTAACTCTTTCTTGCTTACATATATATGGCTGGAGTTACACTGAAAAAATGTCCCTGTTCCAACTTACATACAAATCCAACTTACAGTAAGAACAAACCTACAGAACTTATGTTTGTAACTTGGGGACTGCCTGTACAAGCTGGGACGCAGGGGTAACAGATACTACTGTACAAAAGGATAATACCTAACAAAGTCAATGAAAGGCCAAGTGTCTCTGATCTTGAATGCTAAGCAGGGCCAGTTCTGGTTAGTATTTGGATGGGAAACCACAAATGAATAGCAAGTGCTATATTTCAGAGAAAGAAACTGAAAAAAACTATTTTTGAGTATTTCCTCCCAAAGAAAACCTTATTAAAGTCATGGGGTCACCATAAATAAAAGGTGACTTGAAGGCAAATACATCCACACATACCCAACCATGGGCTGCTAAAAGCAATATAGGTAAAGGTAAAGGTTGTCCCCTGACATTAAGACTACTTGTGTCCGACTCTGGGGGTTGGTGCTCATCTCCATTTCTAAGCCGAAGGGCTGGCATTGTCCATAGACACCTCCAAGGTCATGTGGCCGGCATGACTGCATGGAGTGCCGTTACCTTCCCGCCAGAGCGGTACCTATTGATCTACTCACATTTGCATGTTTTTGAACTACTAGGTTGGCAGAAGTTGGGGCTAACAGCGGAAGCTCACACCGCTCCCCGGATTCAAACCTACGACCTTTCAGTCTACAAGCTCAGCAGTTTAACCCACTGCACCACCGGGGGCAATATAGGAATACATATATTCCTATATTAGGAATAGCTTTAGCATTTCTGAAGATAGAATAGTTCCAATGAAATTGAGGAAAAAAAATTTGAAAGTGTTTTTTTGAAAATGTAAGCATGAATTATATTTAATTTCAATGATCTTAGAGAGAGAATAAATGACTACAATAAAAAAATTAAAAATTTGCTAACAAAGTTCACAAACTCACCTGAAGCCTGTTCATGTTATATCTAAATGCAGCCATTAGACAATACAGCTTTTGAATCGTTTTAACATTACAACTGTATTGAAACATTGCAAAGGCATATCTGCAAGACACTGAGTAGAAAAATATACATATTTCAAATATAAATATTCCAAATGTACAAATCGGTTTGCATGGGAATAGTGGAGTCTTGACATGATTTAAATTACCAGAACATTACTGCACACCATAGTTATCTCTAAGATAGTCTAAAACTGCAGATGTACTTGATAAAACATTAAAAATCTTCTTCTCTTGTTTTGAAGTGATTCTTTCTAACATGTACATTAAATGATGATGAAAACACGTAAAAGGAGTTCCATGTTCAAGAGCAATATGAACCCAGTCTTGAACACATTCTGGAGGTGTTTCTTCATATCCTGCAAACATGGCTGGATTGGCGAGAAGCCCTCTTGCAACCATGACACCTAAAAATGGAGAAAACGTACACATAAATAAAGCTGAAAGAATAATACATGTTATTTCCCACAAAGCTTTGTCATCATCATGGGAATCTTCAAAGTTAACATGACAGTGATGTTTTTGTTCTTCTTCTCAAGATATTGGCTATCCCTTTTTAGGAAACGAAAAAAAGATGACAAGGACTGCAAATTGGAAGAGGAATACACTTTGGGAGGAGATGAAGTACTGGAGAGGGAGGGTCAATGCTGAGATTGTATCTGCTGGAATGCAAATGCTGTAATCCTTTGAGCATTTGTGTGTGTGTATAAAACACATTGAATGTAATGAAATTTGCTTCGGAATAAATGTATACTGCAAATCTTTTTTTAGATATATGTACATAAAGAGATGTTAGCCTCATGCATGCTGCTTAGTGAAATAATCTCTATTACAATGACTTTTAGTGTTCTAGCTACCAATTTGGTTCCTCCTCCAATCTTCGTCCATCTCACACATTTTAATATATTTATTCTATATAAGACACATCTCTAACAGTCTTATTTTATCCATGTTTACTTGGAATTTCAGTTAATGAATATACTGTTTAATAATATAATAATAATTAATAAATCTATACACATAATAAATGTGAAAATATGTATGTGTGTGGCTGGGGTATCCACTTACACAGACTAGCTCCTGCCTCCACAAACAGCTATGGCTCCCACTACTCAGGAGACACCAATGGCCCTCCTTCCAATGACATTGTAGGTTACAGTGAATGCCATGAACATGTACAAGAGCCCTGCCAATGTCCTCCATAAACACCACAAACACCATACTGCCCACCACCCAAGTGAAGGCTTTCATATGGGGACAATGTCATCCGAGATTTTATGTGTTTCCTCCACCAGAGACATCCCAGTGCTTCTTACTCTCTCCATTGGTGTGGAATTTGCATAGTCCCACCCACTGCCTCTCCCTTAACCCTTTCTAGTTCTTTCTATGGCATACAGCAAACAGAGGAATTGAGCAGCAACTTAAACATACTAGAGAGTTCTTTTGTCATCATCATAGAGAGGTTTGGGGAGAATTCGCCATGATTCATAGGAGTTGTAGGTACTAGGATTCATAGTTCACCTGCCATCTAAGAGCACTCTGAAATCCACCAACAATGGACCTGGAACTAACTTGGCACATAGAACCTCCATGACCAACACACATTACAGGAGGTCTTTGGTGGGATTTATAGGAATTGTAGTTCACCTACATCCAGAGAGCACTATAAACCCAAACATTATGGATCTGGACCAAACTTGGCATGCATTCTCAATATGCCCAAATTTTAATACTAATGGGTTTTGAGGGGAATTGGCCTGGGCATGTTGGAGTTCTAGGTAGGTACTGGGATTTATAGTTCACCTGCAAACAATGAGCACTCTGAGCTCCACCAAAGATGGAATTGGACCAAACTCGGCACACAGAGCCTCCATCACAAGCAAAAAATAGTGGAGGTATTTGGGGGAAATTCATCTTGATTGGGCGAGTTGTAGTTCACCTACATCCAGAGAGCACTGTGAACCCAAACACCTATGGATCTGGACCAAACTTGACACACATACCCAATATGACAAAATTTGACTACTGGAGGGGTTTGAGGGGAACTGACCTTCTTTTCTGAGAATTGTAGTTCACCCACAACCAGAGAAACTGTGATCTCCACCAATGTTGGACCTGGACCAAACTTGGCACACAGAACCTCCATGACTAATTCAACTTACTGGAAGGGTTTGAGAGGGCTGACCCACCATAGTGGGAGTTGTAGTTTACCCTGCAGCCAGAGAGCACACTGAACCCCACCGATGATGCACCTAGAGCAAACTTGCACAACATAAATACTGATGGAGGTTCTTGGGGTTAACCTGGCATGATGTCAGTTGTAGTTCACCCACAACCTTATGCATTTTGTACAATTAAAAAAAATGACTTTTTCAAATAACCCGGGCAATGCCAGGAACCCAAGCTAACAACAACAACAACAACATTTTATTTGTAACCCGCCCTCTCTCCTGAGGGGACTCAGGGCGGTTGGGGACTCATTTTAATTCCATGTGTAGCAAATACACATGGAATTGAAATGTTTGAAACCCATTAAAAACATACATGAGAAAATCCATTAAATCATCTATATTAATAACTGATTTTTGCCATTACAGGTTGTGAAATAAGATCAAGATACTTCTATAAAATTAAGGAGATAACTGGTGGATGACCTTAGTGAATAATGCTACTGTTTGGATATTTTAATTACTATTTTTCATCTGTACCTATAGATAAAAGTCAATATTCTAAATATATTACAACAATGCTGTAACTATATAACTGATTTTAATGTTTATGCCAATTCTAGTCTGTGACTGAAAAATCCCTTCATTTGTCTTAGGATAGAATGTATGTAGTTCTGTACAGAAATGCAGGAAAATTGAGCCAGAATTTTATATATAAAGAGAAGTATTTGGTGGCACCTTACGTCTAATGTTGTAAGATGCCTTTAATTGTAGAATGGAATAAACTTTAACAAGCAACGACCTACTTTATCATATAGTGAGTGGAAACTGGGAGAAAGGAAAGAAAGAAAAGTAAGATGAGGTCATCTCACTACCTCTGAGGATGCTTGCCATAGATGCAGGCGAAACATCAGGAGAGAATGCCTCTAGAACATGGCCATATAGCCCAAAAAAACCTACAACAACCCAGTGATTCCAGCCATGAAAGCCTTCGACAATACATTTAAAATGAGGTCATTTCTTGCAAACAACGCAAGCTTAACCATTGGAGGTATTTTTCATTTATGGGAAAATACTTTCATGGAAGGGGGGTAGAAGAATCTAAGGCTCAGTCTTACCATCTGTTCCTGTTATCTGATGGATGTCCTCCACATCTTTTAAAGATTTCATATCACCATTAGCTACCACTGGTATAGAAAGACTTTCCTTAATTATTTTAATGGCATCACAGTGTACTGGCTGATGTCTTTCTTCCACATTTCTCCCATGGACAGTAATCCAGGATACTCCAGCTGCTTCAGCTTTTTGGCATAGATCTATGGTTCTTTTTAGATCATCGTGAATCCTATTTTTTCAAACAATAGAAATACCATTATTTAGCAGGTACTATATGGGATGCTTGAAAATGTAGTACAGAATCAACATTAGAATTAAACATGTATTACAGTGACTTAGGGCGGTTTACAGAGGCAACAATTTGATGCCCAAAAACACCATAAAACATTTAAAAGCATGAACACGTAATATAAAACCATAACAATAGTGTTAAAAACATACATTAATCCTAATAAAAACATTGTCCAATCTCGTCGTCCAGTCATTCCAATTCCTATGTCATTTACCTTGCAATTTCAAAGGCTTGTTCAAACAACCAAGTCTTGACTCTTTTCCAAAATGTTAAGACGGAGGGGGCCTATTTAATGTCCCTAGGAAGGTTGTTCCATAGCTGAGGGGCCACCACTGAGAAGGCCACAACTGTCTCTCGTCCTCACCAAATGTGTTTGTGACGCAGGCGGGATTGAGAGCAGGGCCTCCCCGGATGATATTAAAGTCCTAGCAGGTTCATAAGTGATGATGCGTTCGGACAGGATACAGGCTTCAATATTAGCGGAATATTATTAGTTGTAAGTATGGTTGTTATGCCAGCATAGCTTCAGAAACAGACGTGACACTGCTCACACAAGAACCAAAGCAAATATTCCAGAATTGGTGGCGAAACCTATACGATTTTATTACACATTTTCCCCCCCAGAATAATCCCTAATTATTAGATTTTTCAATATATCTCAATGAAGGGGTGGAGAAAGCAGGCTTAAAATCGTCACTAACAGTTTTATTTCATAAATATAATAATTTATGTTATGTCTGTTATCTTGCCCCCATTAGAATCATAGAATCATAGAGTTGGAAGAGACCTCATGGGCCATCCAGTCCGACCCCCTGCCATGAAGCAGGAATATTGCATTCAAAGCACCCCTGGCAGATGGCCAACCAGCCACTGTTTAAGAGCTTCCATTCTTAACTATGAGTCATTTGTATTTAAACTGGCCAACCTAATGTACGACTGTTTTGTATTTAAATTGACCAACCTAATGTTGTGACTTCCTGTTTTCTTGTTTGTAACTTGGGGACTGCCTATATATATAACAGGAAGTGAGAGAACTCAACCCTTGGGAAGGGAAATTCACTCTTGGAAGAGTTATCATGGGGAAGCTTTCTCACCAATCCTTGTTTCCACAATAAGTCAATTTTTTCAAAATCCAATTATCACAGGGACAGAAAGTGAGGTGAAATATTCTGAACAGGGGCACAGACAGCAAAACAAACTCCACATGGGGGTGTTAACACTTTCCTATACTTTTATTTTTATAACACACACACACATGCAGCTGGATATACATACATACATCCAGACACACACAACTGGGGATATATATATATATATATATATATATATATGAATGAATATATATAGAGAGAGACAGAACGTATGTATATATTATATGCCATGTAGATAGTATCAAAAATTACCTTATCTTGATGGACACTGAAAACAAGGGATTTTCCACTTGATTTTTTACTAATTTCACCATGTCTTGGACAAGTTCTGGTTTATTTATTAAGCAAGCACCATAACCTTCTGCCATAGCCCACCTTGAAATAGAAAAAGCAAAATTAGTTCTCTATATTGGAACGTATTGTCCATTTTTTGTGTCAGCATCTGTGAGGAAGCAGAATACATGCTGATAAATATAAGATTTTCAGAAAATCCACATGAATTTTCCAACAATTTATTTCTTATTTGAAAGAAACCAACTGGGATTTTTAATCTACTATGTGTTTGTACTGTGTATGCTGCGATCACTAGCTATTTCTTAAACACACATGTTGTGTTTGGCTATATATTTGACTAGGTTGTCCACATATTCAACTAACTAATAAAATCAGTCCCTATTACCAATTACTGGATTCCCTCAGGTACTGAAACAAAAGTGCTCTCAGTGAACAAATTACAAACAAATTGTCTCAATTGCAGACTTTGTCCATGTAATATGAATGAGACAGAGGAAGCAGTTTGGGGTCAAATGATCTGGATGGCAGTTCACAACAATGTTATTAGAATTGGGCTATCTGGCAGAGGCTGGAATAAGTCAGCACATAACTACTGAATATATATATATA